GTCGACTCCGTCATGTTGTAACGACTCGGGGTCACCACTAATTTTTTGATGGCGAAATTTTTGTAAGTTATATCAATCATCTTATAGTATTTTCGGGTAAAAATTAGACCCCAAAGCGGTTTTGGAAGTTTGACTATAATTATAGGACATTGTGTTTAATAAACTAAATTACCATTTATTGCATAAGTGCTACGTAATATATACTACTTTCGCAAATTTAGCTTATCATAATATACCGTTTGTTACTATTTATATGCAAAATTTGATATGAAAGAGTACCAAATTTCGTACTACTTCGCAAAGCGTGCTTCTTTTCTTCCCGTTTCTCTCGTTCTTCCATATTACAACCTTTTGTAAGGGAGCCGTCGACATGAGCTGTCACTACGTACAACACCTTGTATAATTCCACCATGATAAAAACGTAGTAAAATGAGTACAACGAGTTCTGGTTCAGTCAGTAAGATTAAGCAGGCCATAGCATTGGCTGGATCTACAGTGCCCGAGTATAAATTGCGTGCTAAGTTGTGCAAAGAAGAAGTGGAAGAATTATTGGCTGAATTTTATCTACCGAAATGCGTACGTTTTACAGAAGTTACTTATGTATATAAAATGTATACGTTTTTTCTTTCAACACTTTCTTTATCACAGATTTCTTCCCAAGAAATCACTTTGGATGTTGGCGAGGATCGCATTTTATTAGAGTTAATGAAGCAAAAAAAAGGGACTTCTCTTTATATAATTAGTATAGATTAAAAAATTAGTTTAAATGGCATTTGTAAAGCAGAACATATGTATGTACATACTTGAATGAAGTAAACGACGGCGAATTTCGCTAATGCATCGAAATATGCAGAGCTATATGTTCAACATTACTTTTAATATATTTGGTATTTGTTATGAAGTTTTCAAGGACTAAAAATAAAATAATGTTTAAATCTACCAATATTAGTAATACGGTAAGCCAAAAGTTTGTCTTTGATGGACGGTGTTACAATTTAATAGCAGGGATTAGTGGATTGAGGGTGTCTACCCCTATGCTGAAATCTATCGAACTTTCGATTTTGCTACGAATCGAAATGAGGATGTTACACACACGTCATGTACGTACGTTCAATTTAAACTTTCCCGTGATAAATGGTAAATCTAATATGGATTCGAAATTTTGAATTTTTAAAATCTGATTCCAAATTCGTTATCAGCGACCTTAAGAACCCCCACTGCAGCGTTGCCACCATTGTGTACATATATATTGTATATATTTCTCTATGTCGAAAAGTACATTTTTTAGTAAGTCCGACATTCGAATTAGTCAAATACTCTCAATCAGTTGGTCAGATAAATCACAGCAAAGCAGCAAGTTGTTTATTAGTAGTTTTAGATTTAAAAATTTATCAAAACAGCATCAACGGTGCATTCTTACAAACAAATGTACCTTGGAGAGTGATAGGTATAGTTACATACATAACCAAAAATATTTTTTTAACCCGAAAAGAACTTATTTATTTCTTTACTTACTGTATTTAAAGCATTTATAAGGCAAGGAGAATGAACAAGAAGAATGTTAAGGTGTAGGCAAATTAATACCTAGTGATTTTGAATTATTAGAGACTTTTTTATTATTTAACGAATATGCCTAACGGCCATATTATTGACACTCCGAATTTGCCGGAATAAGAATATTTACGGAATAGAGGAGAATTAGTTGGAATAAGTGTATTATTGACGCATAGAATAAAACGGAATAAGGTGTAATAAGAAAGTCAGAATTGTTATTCCGGGGAATAACTAAGCGGGCAGAATCGAGCGAATAAGGCAGTTATTCCATGTTATTCGTTCAAAATTCATTATTGACTTACATCTGCTTTAGAAATACATACAGGTAAGAAATGTAAACTGTTTTTAGTTTGTAATTATCCTTTTTTTTATCCATTTTAGGTGATATAATGGCGCGCCCATCTCGAACCAATGTGCTGATCGGAATTGACCGTGCTCAACGCATTTACGACGAAGACCATAACAATAGACGACCATACATAATGCTAGAACGAAGAAAAATGCACTCGTGGGACGATTTTGACTTTTTTTCTCGATTCCGTATGACAAAGGCAAGATTTGTACACGTGCTACACTTGATTGTGCCTTACATGCCAGAGGTACATCAAAGGTATCAAAAGCTGTATTGAGTTCATATGTATACTGATTTAATATTTTTTATTTGTCCTTTACAGACAACGCTATATCTCACACGAAGTGCAGCTACTATGCACATTGCGTTTCTTGGCTGCTGGTAGCATGCAGTCTATCGTTGGTGATATTATAGGAGTTTCCCAACCTACGATTAGCAACTTGTTGCCAAAAGTGTGCAAAGCAGTTCTCGGACTACTGCCTGACATAGTTGGAATGCCGCGGACACAGGAGGAACTAAAAACGGCGGCTGCCCTTTTCTACATGTTTGGAAATTTGCCAAGAGTCATTGGAGCCATTGACTGTACACACATAAAAATTCAGTCACCGGGAGGCCCAAACGCGGAAATATTCCGAAACAGGAAGGGATATTTTTCTTTGAATGTACAAACCGTTGCAGCAGCTAATCTCAAAATCATGAACATTGTTACACGATGGCAGGGTTCGGCACACGACTCGACTATATTTCGGTCGAGTGCACTATGGCAGCAATTCGAAGCGGGCGAATTTCGCCACTACATTTTAGTCGGTGATCCCGGCTATGCCAATTCTCCCTTCCTGGCAACGCCATTCGCAGAAAATAGTTCTGAGCTTCGCGCTGGATTACAACACGTACAGGAATATCAGCGGGCAATTATCGCCACCAGGAATTGCGTGGAACGCTCATATGGAGTGCTGAAGCGACGCTTTCCAGCATTGGCCTATGGTTTGCGTGTCAAAACATCGACTGCACAAATGCTTGTTGCGACCGCTGCAGTACTCCACAACATCTGTTTTGATGAGAATGAGCAATTACCCAACACACCACCTGGCTTCACGAGCAACGAAATAGAGATCAACAGTGGTGCGACAGAAGATACTCCAAATAGTAACTATGGCAGGAATGTACGCAACGAACTCCTCGATATGTTTCGTCGCCAAGTGAACACACACACCAATCACTTGCCTTGATTAGAAAAGGGAGGATAATTTCATTTAATTCATTTAGTTTTTGCAATGAATAACATATTTTTGTTTTAAAAACATTAAACAAGAAAAACTAGTTAAATAAAACCTGTACTTATAAAAAAAAAATAAATAACACACTGTTGCGCGAAACTATACTGAATGTTTTATGTCGTCATAAAAGCTCGAAACTTCAAGCTCCTCCTGGACGATTTTTTCAGATTCTTGTGCATTCATCGGTTTGTGCGTCTTTAAGTATAGGTTGTGACGCTCCTGCGCTTCTTGTTCCCGCTTAGCGAAGTATTGCATTACTTGCTTCTGAGCAGTTTTTTGTAGCATAACCGCTTCCATATTAGCAGTATGTAACTCGATGGCATGGCGCATGTTTGTTGCGTGGAGTTCGCGTGACTGCGTTAATTCAAGATTTATAAGCTGCTGGCGCATTTCATTTTCGGCATTATTTGGGTCACGGAATCTGCGTTTCCGTGCTTGCCGCTGTTGTGCAACTGTTGCAAAATATTGTCGCGGTTCTACTGCCGATGCTTCCTTGGGCAACGGCGAGCTGGTGGAGACGATTAAAGGACTGGAGAAGTTACAGCTGGGAGTCAATATGGTCGATGACGGCTTCGCTGTAGAAGAAATGAATTACTGAAATTACTCGATCCAATTAATATAATATGTACATGTACGTATGTATGCTCCTACAAACATATGTATATTTGTACCTGTGATATTCACAATTTGGACCTCCTCTAACGTCGTGTTTTGAACACCCAATACATCTTTGTTTTCAACATACAATGGGGTATGTGTATCATCCGGCATTTGTGTTTCGGGCAATGCTTCCGTGATATTCACAATTTGGACCTCCTCTAACGTCGTGTTTTGAACACCCAATACATCTTTGTTTTGAACATACAATGGGGTATGTGTATCATCCGGCATTTGTGTTTCGGGCAATGCTTCCGTATTCAGCAGTGAGTGCTCTTTGCTGTTTGCCGAACTTCCATAAATTACCATATCGCTGTCAAATTCGGAATGGAGGCCACAGAAGCGATCACGCAGAATCGCAAGCAATTCTAGCATGGCTCCAGTGAGAGGAACGGTTAAAGACACTGGCATGGGTTTCGCAAGTCCGCCACCAGTTCCCATTGAAACTTGCCGCTGCCATGTCGAATATGTCTGCAAATACTGCTTTATTTGCTTGAACCGATTCTGCAGATGTAGTGGTTCGCGAACAATTCCCTGAAAGAAAAAATATTTAACACCATTTAAAATAAATTTTAAATAATGAAAAAATAACAACCGTAGAAGCGCGCTCGGCGTTCAATATATTCGCGATTTTCCGATACTCCTGGGCCCGTTGCTCTGGCGTGCAACCGTTTGTCGCCTGATTTAAAATGCCATCGCGACCGACATCAACAAGTGCGCGCACAAAGCGCAACGTCTCCTCCGCCGACCAATTCGCAGATCTCCGTGCTCGAGGAACTCGCGACTTTTTCTTGTCTTTTTCTTTATTTTCGTTCATAGCACACAAAATCGCAAATTAAAATTGTTAACAAAACCACAACACAAAAATAATTAAGCAATTTATTCAAAATTTTATAATATTTTGACACTCCGAATGTCAATTCCTCTCTTCGGAAAATCTATTGGAATAAATATTTATTCCTCTGCCGGAAAGTTATTCGCCGCTATTCCATAGTGAATAATTGACAAAAAAGTTATTCCGCCGTCGCTCAGAATTGCCCAGAATAACTAAACCGTTGAATACGAAGGAATAACGACAAGTCAATAATATGGCCGTAAGAGTTTTATTAATTTGTAATAGTTTGTCTTTTAAGTAGTTGAAAATGATATTAAATGCAATTGCAGATTTGCGAATGAATATGTAGTTGTTGAAATTTAGAAAAGATGCATTCGGGTTGTTGTTGTTGTTGTTGATGTAGCGGCATTCGGGTCATCAGCTTGGCTGTGCTCGTTAGTAGTGTTAACAATTGAAATCTCATTGTCCAGTTGATTTTGGATGGTCGTGCTGCTTAGTACGGACGGAGCATCAAAGGCAATGGTTTTACGTCGCTGGCGTTTCGGACGTGGTTTATTGTTATGAACACATGCAATGTGATTTTGTATACCATTGATGCGCTGATATGTTTCTTGGCAATGCATGCACTGATAGATTCGTGGATTATCTACCTGATGCTTATTAATAAGGTGCCTTTTGTATATTTTGGCTTTTTTTGTTGTGAACTCACAGTGCGTACAATGAAACGTCCAGGAGTCATTCATGCCAACTTCTTCATTCGCTTTTTCATTACTTTGGTCATCCGGTTCATCATTGTTTTCTTCCTGCTCGTTGTGTGATGAGGCGATATTTAAACGGCCTTTCTGATTTTTTCTTGTGCTAGGCAAGGATTTTGAGAGACGTTCCAAAACAATTTCTGTTTTTATAAGACCCGCCGAACAGCCGGCACAGATAAGGTATTTTGGAGGGAACTCAACCTATTGGAAGATAAGGATTGTTATCGTTTCGTTAGGTTATTGCATTTTACTCACATGATCACCAATTATAAAGTTTATTATACTAGACAATTGTGTGCCTAGTACTCTTTCTTTGGGATTAAATAGTTTGGAATACTTATTCTTACACAAACTGCACGTATCCATTTTGGTTATTTTCCTGAAGCCGACTTTAATAAAAAATCGTTGTCATAAAATGAAGTAAAAAAGAAAGCAAGTTTATAAAAACGCATGGTGGAATAATACAAGGTGTTGGATATTGACAGCGTTCTCGCTCTAATCTGCCATCTTGGCTCCCTTAGCAAAATCGGTGTTTCCCTCTTGAAAAAACTACATTTTACCGCCTTTAAAAAAACTAAACTACCTCATTCCCTATTCCAAAACTGATTTGCAATCACTGAACAATTCTTTGACATTTACTTTATTCTTATTCGTTGACAAAATTAAATTAAAAATTAAAATCATTAATTCGACAAAAAACATTGGTTTTGTGTATTCTCCAAAGGCCTAAAATCAGCCAAATACCCTATGTGGGTCGGCTTAATCAGTAAAACGTGACAGTAGTTGACTTTTGAGGTTAATATATCGGTCTTGAGCTGGTACGGCTTTTAAAACATCCGCAGCTTCCTTTAAAGCATCGCTGCTAATTGCTGAGAGGACCAGATTATATTTCCGGACATAAGATGTGGTCTTGTACGACTGAAAGGTGGCCTCAATTTGTAGAAACCATTTGTTTGGCATCTCAGTTCAGAACGGTCGCAGCTTGCATTGCGATACAAGCTCCACATCTTTAGTTGGCATTTTGTTCGATGAAATATTTTCCCCATCCGTCGATGCGCCCTTTTGTCGACTCCGTCATGTTGTAACGACTCGGGGTCACCACTAATTTTTTGATGGCGAAATTTTTGTAAGTTATATCAATCATCTTATAGTATTTTCGGGTAAAAATTAGACCCCAAAGCGGTTTTGGAAGTTTGACTATAATTATAGGACATTGTGTTTAATAAACTAAATTACCATTTATTGCATAAGTGCTACGTAATATATACTACTTTCGCAAATTTAGCTTATCATAATATACCGTTTGTTACTATTTATATGCAAAATTTGATATGAAAGAGTACCAAATTTCGTACTACTTCGCAAAGCGTGCTTCTTTTCTTCCCGTTTCTCTCGTTCTTCCATATTACAACCTTTTGTAAGGGAGCCGTCGACATGAGCTGTCACTACGTACAACACCTTGTATAATTCCACCATGATAAAAACGTAGTAAAATGAGTACAACGAGTTCTGGTTCAGTCAGTAAGATTAAGCAGGCCATAGCATTGGCTGGATCTACAGTGCCCGAGTATAAATTGCGTGCTAAGTTGTGCAAAGAAGAAGTGGAAGAATTATTGGCTGAATTTTATCTACCGAAATGCGTACGTTTTACAGAAGTTACTTATGTATATAAAATGTATACGTTTTTTCTTTCAACACTTTCTTTATCACAGATTTCTTCCCAAGAAATCACTTTGGATGTTGGCGAGGATCGCATTTTATTAGAGTTAATGAAGCAAAAAAAAGGGACTTCTCTTTATATAATTAGTATAGATTAAAAAATTAGTTTAAATGGCATTTGTAAAGCAGAACATATGTATGTACATACTTGAATGAAGTAAACGACGGCGAATTTCGCTAATGCATCGAAATATGCAGAGCTATATGTTCAACATTACTTTTAATATATTTGGTATTTGTTATGAAGTTTTCAAGGACTAAAAATAAAATAATGTTTAAATCTACCAATATTAGTAATACGGTAAGCCAAAAGTTTGTCTTTGATGGACGGTGTTACAATTTAATAGCAGGGATTAGTGGATTGAGGGTGTCTACCCCTATGCTGAAATCTATCGAACTTTCGATTTTGCTACGAATCGAAATGAGGATGTTACACACACGTCATGTACGTACGTTCAATTTAAACTTTCCCGTGATAAATGGTAAATCTAATATGGATTCGAAATTTTGAATTTTTAAAATCTGATTCCAAATTCGTTATCAGCGACCTTAAGAACCCCCACTGCAGCGTTGCCACCATTGTGTACATATATATTGTATATATTTCTCTATGTCGAAAAGTACATTTTTTAGTAAGTCCGACATTCGAATTAGTCAAATACTCTCAATCAGTTGGTCAGATAAATCACAGCAAAGCAGCAAGTTGTTTATTAGTAGTTTTAGATTTAAAAATTTATCAAAACAGCATCAACGGTGCATTCTTACAAACAAATGTACCTTGGAGAGTGATAGGTATAGTTACATACATAACCAAAAATATTTTTTTAACCCGAAAAGAACTTATTTATTTCTTTACTTACTGTATTTAAAGCATTTATAAGGCAAGGAGAATGAACAAGAAGAATGTTAAGGTGTAGGCAAATTAATACCTAGTGATTTTGAATTATTAGAGACTTTTTTATTATTTAACGAATATGCCTAACGGCCATATTATTGACACTCCGAATTTGCCGGAATAAGAATATTTACGGAATAGAGGAGAATTAGTTGGAATAAGTGTATTATTGACGCATAGAATAAAACGGAATAAGGTGTAATAAGAAAGTCAGAATTGTTATTCCGGGGAATAACTAAGCGGGCAGAATCGAGCGAATAAGGCAGTTATTCCATGTTATTCGTTCAAAATTCATTATTGACTTACATCTGCTTTAGAAATACATACAGGTAAGAAATGTAAACTGTTTTTAGTTTGTAATTATCCTTTTTTTTATCCATTTTAGGTGATATAATGGCGCGCCCATCTCGAACCAATGTGCTGATCGGAATTGACCGTGCTCAACGCATTTACGACGAAGACCATAACAATAGACGACCATACATAATGCTAGAACGAAGAAAAATGCACTCGTGGGACGATTTTGACTTTTTTTCTCGATTCCGTATGACAAAGGCAAGATTTGTACACGTGCTACACTTGATTGTGCCTTACATGCCAGAGGTACATCAAAGGTATCAAAAGCTGTATTGAGTTCATATGTATACTGATTTAATATTTTTTATTTGTCCTTTACAGACAACGCTATATCTCACACGAAGTGCAGCTACTATGCACATTGCGTTTCTTGGCTGCTGGTAGCATGCAGTCTATCGTTGGTGATATTATAGGAGTTTCCCAACCTACGATTAGCAACTTGTTGCCAAAAGTGTGCAAAGCAGTTCTCGGACTACTGCCTGACATAGTT